TATATATATATACACTCTCACTATATATCCAAAACAACCATATTTCAAATGATCCTTGTTGATATTGAAGTTTCGACCATAATGTATGACTAAATGTTCAAAGAACCTGATCTTCAACGTAGCTACTTGTCACGTTTCAAAATCCACTAGTCGTGATGACACCTAACCAACCCACTAGGTAAGCCAACTAATAACTATCCAATTTCAATAATGTTAACAAGCCAATTAAACAGAATAAATTATCTGGATCTATTACATTTCCCAAGAACTGGTAGTACAAATTATGAGCTTCTAAGAATAAAGTTTACAAGCTGATATGAAGTAAATACATCTTCTGTTTGAAAAGTACATAACATTAGTTTTACACCATGAACAAGAGGCAGCTAGAACCGGAATGCAGGTACTGTTGATACCCAAGTTTTCCCTCATATATTTTTAAATATGCATACATACTTTCAAAATATTGCACATGCACAGGTGTTTTTACAATTTTTCTATAATTTTTAAAGGCCTTAAATTAATTTATTTCTGCATTTTTAATTATATAAATATTCAAATATTATCCCTCATATTACTTTATGATGGTTTAATCAGCTAAATTTATCATTTATGCCCATATAAGTGTTCAAATATTTTAATTACATTTGCATTTTTAAGACTATAATTGCACATTTTGTAAAAATAGCTCATATATATGCATAATTATCTTATCTATACAAAAATGACTTTTTATATTTTTACAATGATAAGTGATTATTTTAAATCATTTTCATACATAAATTATATTTTTATCATTTATAAATTATTTTATAAAATTATTTTTATTAAATATAGCCTCTTTCAATTAATTTTTCGGACCTAATTACCCAGCCCAATACCTAAAATGTCTAACCTAATTACACAGCCCAACCCAATTACCTCTACCCAATTAACCACCAGACCGGGGAACCCCTTAGATCAGGACCGTTGATCTCTAAGATCAACGGTCCACATCGCCCCAGCCCTTTTTATTAGCCTAACCCGTCTAAACCCTAATCACTTTCCACCAAACGCCGCCCCCAAACTCTCTCATCTCCCTGTCAAACCTTAAAGTCACCGTCCCACCCAAACACCCCAAGAATCCCTGTTCTAATGGGATTCTCCGATTACTCCCTTACCATTCTAGGTTTTTTCCCTTATTTGGCACCCGATTCTGGAATAACTTAGGTACTTGCCTAAATATGGCAAGTACCACGATTTGGTTTCGTTTGAATCAGTGTTTTCCTTTTGAATCTGGACAATCTCAAGCCCAAACGCGTATTTGTAATGTTTCTCTCATATCTCTCTTGATTCGCTAAGCCCTAAAGGTTAGGGTTTCAGATTCTCTATGATTTGAACCAAATCTGGTTCAGATCCTGTCTTTTAAACATGTTTCTTCGTCTATATTTCTCTATTATTTATGGATCTGTTGATCTTTTACCGACTCTGTGATTTACTCAAACCTAGGGTTTCAAACCCTTTCTTTACTCGAATTAAACTGATTCAATTATGAGTTTTCCTTTAATAAACTCTTATATATGTTCATTTAGTACGAATCTGTGATATCCTCTTTTATTTCGGCTGATTTGGTGTTTACCCAAAACTAGGGTTTGAAACTTTCTCCTTTTCCTTACTGATTCTGACGAATCTTTCCTTTTATGTGTCCGATTACTCTATTTTTTTCGTGTTTTCCTAATTTCTTTCTACTTTAGCATTTGCTTCAAATATTCTGAACAATTTGTGTTTTGATATTTTTGTGCATTTGCCTTAAATACTCAAAATAATTAGTGTGTTTTCCCGATTTACTGAATCCTTGATTTATGCCCTAAATCATTTCTAATTGATTCCGGAATTATCCCTTACCTTATTTGACTACTGATTGAGTCCATTAACTGATGCTAGCCCAATTTTACGCATGTTAATTGATCCATGTTGACCTAAACTGATTATTGATTGATTTTAATACCTTATTTGTGTGTGATTAGTTCATTACCTTGTGTGTTATCTACCCTATTGCATGCTATATAAACCCCTCCTCATTCCCCTTTAGGACCAGACCGGAATCACTACATCTCACTAAAAAAAAGCTTAAGTT